ATTATGTGCATACATCGCGCACTTAAGAAGAAAAAAGTCCTAAATATGGAGGACCCGCTGAATTGGCCTCAGATCTTCGAGCTAACGCTGGTTTCTGCACAGGCAAATTTGACTGACAGCCACCGTCTGAACATAAAACAATGCTCAAAGCATATTATCAACTCTCACTCACCTTTATATCGCTCGGCTTGGCGTTTTTCTAAGTGTAACTTCCAAATATTCGCATTAAACATGAATAAATCAAGAAGTAGACGCACTAGTTCATCTTCTCCGTCTTGAGCCACGCGGAAGATTAGACCAGTTACGAGGATCCAATTTCAAAGGACGCCGCTTTGAAAAGAACGCTGCGATCTGATTGGACGATAGAGATAATTGATGTCCCGTTTCTACTCCTTCTCTTTATAACTTCTTGAGCAGATTTTCTCCACGTGGCGTACTATTCAACCTTACTTGCTTCAGACAAGTCGTCACTGCTAAACCTTTTCACTACCCCTGTGTTAGCTGACCTTGTAAGCAATTTATTAGAATAAATTTTCTAAAATGAAGTTAAAACAATCCATTTATTCATCACGTACGCCAATCAACTTAACTGTCAAGATTACTTGAAAACACCTTTATAATAATTTTGATATACCGTGTAACATAATTGAAGTCTATTTAAAGTGTTTTAAAGCTTTTCATCATGTCGCTCTAGTCGCCGACTAACCCAAACTCTAATTTGTAATCGGGCGTATGACGCAGGCTTGGTGCCCAACATTATACCGACAGCGTATGGCGCGACTACTACTTGCTACATTGGTAAATATAACCGACACATATCTTTTTATCTTTTATAACATTGTTAGAACGTTTTAATACTAGATGTGATGATTGAAGTTGTGCAAATTGTAGTGATGCAAAATATGAAATCCTTTGTTCATGTGTTTTTGCTTAAATTAACAAAAATGTATAATTTGTAAATTTCATCAAAATTTATGTACGTTAATAGAACTTGTTGGCAACGTTTCTCTTTATCAGTGATAATGACAGTGGAAGTGTAGAACGTTAGAATAACATTCTCTAAATACTTGTTGATGGTCTAACCAATATATAACCCTGTTATCAAAACGTTCTGTGTAAGCTGGGTATACGTTACCTTCATTATTTTACATGTTTACATTATTTTACATGTTAAAAACATTTATTGACAAGAAAACTAATATCTATGAAATCAAACTTAACTTTTTTATTTAAAAAAATTCAAATGACATTAAATAGATATTTATTAATGAAAACAAATAATGAGTTATTGTTTTAAAAGTAACTACTGATCCACTCTTCAATTACTGAAAAAAATCACACCAATGGTCCCCCTCTTGCAATTAGAATTTTGACTAGCTGAATCATAGTTCTAAACCGTATCAAATGGCACCGTTCGCCCTCTAAATTACCAAAAGATTTCGGGGGCCTTCAGCAGGCCCCGAACCCCACGCCAAGGGGGGGGAGGTCGACTTCGCATCCGCAGACCCCCCAACTAATCCTGGATCCGCCCCTGAGAAACACTATGTACGGCAGCAGTAAATATACACACTCATCTCTCTCTCACACACACACACACACACACACACACACAATCTCTCTCACTTTTTCTCTCTCCACCTCTCTCTCTCTCCATCCCTCTCTCTCTCTCTCACTCGCTCTCACTCTTTCTCTCTCCACCTCTTTCTCTCTCCATCTCTCTCTCTCTCTCTCTATCTCTCTCTCTCTCTCAGTCTTTCATATACTTTACGCTTAAAATCTATATCAGTCACATCAAATTTCAAATAACAGATTACAAGTTCAAAGTCACATCTGAAAGGGATATCACTTTTCAGCACAACAAAGGCAACCCCGAGGTCATTTCTTTCCGTTTACAATTTAATGTCTGTTAAAGCGTCTCGTTGCCTAGCAACTGTAAATGTGTATCCAAACTTTATACCAAGGAGTTAGAATTTTCAGTGCATTGGACAACGGGTGGCTGAGAGTACTTTAATACTGTGTTGTAATATTTTTTCATGGGCGGTGTGTGGATTCGAATTATTGAGATACATGTAAGAAGTGAGGAAAAACATAAATGGGATGCTGAAGGAGGTAAAATTCATACATGATAGCTTGCATGTCTGACTTTGTGACTGCTGTGTCCTTTATTTCAAACGGTCTGCTGTTGTTACTGTCAAGAAAAGGCACTTCAGCTGATTAGACGGATGTCAGAGAGAATATGACTTATAGCTGAAGAAACCTCGAGAAGTATTGGAACATACTGCTTCAACAAATTAAATCCGACTGAAAAACAACTGATCTCCACCCGAACCGAAGACGTAGAACGTAGGAGAGGAGTTGTGGGAAGCTGATCATAAGAAAAATAATCAATCATTTCCGTTCTTTATTATCAACGAAATTGCGCACGGGCTGTACAAATATTGAGTCAAGAAGAGATAGGATTCACGCTGGCATGGTCTGTGGATTGAGGACTAATATTAAAACATTATCAGATAATAACTTGGAGGTGATCTGTGTGACTAAAATAAAACGAGAGGTTTGAGACGGAGTATTGTTAATTTGGAGCATCATTTCACAAAAAAATAGATGAAAGATCTACATCGCTGGAAAACTTGATCAATTCACTCCTTGTTCCAACTGAGAAACCGACAACTGTCTGCGTGCGCCTTCCATAAAGAAAGAAAACTACCAAGGAGGAGATTTCTATAATCGAAAATAATCGTATACTATATTCCAGTCACAAGGACATTATGCGAGTTTGGAAATTTTGACCCTTGCATCCTACATCTTGTGGCATTAGATGTCTGATTTTGTAGACGGCTAATATTTCGTAGACGGCTAATATAGGCTGGTTCATGAGAACGCCGTGAAGATTTTTCAAGGAAACCAAGTGTACAGAGACAAATGTGAAAAGTCGGGGATTTTTGCCATCATGAAACTGGCATGGAATAATACAAAGATGTCAACTGAAACTTACGTCTGAAACGTGATCCATCCATTGGACAAAGGTAGGCCTACAGAGTGCAGTCACAGGCGACCTGCCACTAAAAACGAATGCAAAACGGCTGTCCTCAGACGGCATGAAATAACTATAGTCATCTAGTGGGCAAACTCTTCGTAGATCTACTGACAATTTTTTGCAAGTCCCGTAAACTTTATACAGTGTGCTCCATATGATTATCTGAGACCTAGTCCTTGTGAAAAGAAACGGAGACATTCTGAATATTCTAAATTCCATACTGCTACATTTCCCCATGTGGTACAAGTACAGTGTAAAACACTTATCGTATTAGAGTGCAATGTCAGTCAAATAACAATACTCCAATAGTGAAATTTAACCCGGGGCAGGCTACAAGTACGAACTTACATCTTGCCATTGCTTTTCATGGGGCTGACAGTCCGAGTGGAAATATAACCGTATTACTATTAGAAAACAACTCGAGAGTTTTAAAACAACGGAAATGAACAGGAACAGTGGGGCGACACCGACGTATTTACTTAATCTAAATAAAAGGTAATGGTATAGCATTTTATTTATGTTTTGTAAGAAACCTGTACTTATATTTTGAAAACTTTACAGAGCATTTACTTTCAAGCATACATGTCTGTATCTAAATGCCCCTCTCAGAGAATACACCGTCGCAACAAGGTGGTGCATCCAATAAATTGGGCGCTTTCTCCCCTCCCCCTCCCCTCCATTGCTGTTATAATATAACTGAACGTTTTAACTGTTTTGTCAGTGGAAGTCCCTCTTTTAGTTTTTAAGATTTTTTTCAAGAAAAAATGGTCAAGAACTAAATCTTGACTTCTCTGCAACTAACTCAAATATCGATAGTGAATATGAACATCTCAGTAAAGGGTTCCCGTCTTTTTTTCTTTTTCTTTTTTTTCTCTCGGCAGGGCGGTTTTAACATCAATTTAGGTTTTAAATTGCAATTACATATAGTTATTTAAACATGCCTCACTTGTTAAGGCGAACATGTGGTGTTTAGATGTTGTGTTTCGTTCAAAGCCGGTCCCTAGTTACCTTTTTGACCTGGATATATCTCTTATTATTTTAGAGCTAGCGTCAAGTTATATATTTCAAGTTATAAATTGACTTTCACCATCGTCAACTTAGTCCTCGATAGTATAGTGGTGAGTATCCCCGCCTGTCACGCGGGAGACCGGGGTTCGATTCCCCGTCGGGGAGATAGTTTTTTCTTTCAATTTTTAATGATCTTATAATATAAAATTATAAGAAATATGAGTTCTCAAAATTAGAATTACGTAGAGTTGCACTTAAATCTACAAATTTTCGCACACCGCCGTGAATTACTCCTTCATTTTTATAGCAGCATAAGAAGTACCATTGAAATAGCCATGCAGCTCTTTAAAGGTTAATATTATTTGCTTTTTGGCTGATTTAATTTAATTCCGTTTCATTCAACATAATGGACTTATTACGTCAACAACAAGACCCATTAGAGAGGTCCTCCCAGGCACATTATGCGTTTTTGCTCAATCCCTTCCCCTTTCAAAAGCCGAAAAAGCTCCGTATAAAACGCATTGGTTGCTACCGTATTAAATTTCTTTTTAAGCATTGTGCGATTTGTTTCGGCAACAAATGATTTGTTCTTTTGTGGAGCAAAATGTAACAAGGTGAGATAAAGGGGGCTCTTTTCAATTTTTCACTGAAATGCACCTGCCATATCAGCTGTGCTATTTCAGTGGGGCACCCCTCCGGTTAGCTAATTTAAAATCTCAGAGGAAAATGTAATTATTTGCAGCGATAAAGAATGTTAACACCTTTCTTACTTCTTAAGAAAAATAGTTTGATAAATTTCATCCTGAAGAAGTGCTCGTTTCGCCTTTCGAAAAAAAACAGACTAGCACGAGATCAGAGGTGAAGAGTAGGGAGGAAAATCGATAAACAGAACAACCCTCACCTTTCAACTGCATAGAAACTCTATCAAAGCGACTGTTTACCGTCGAGCTCTGTTTGCCTTGAATCGTGTGCGGTTAAATAAATGATTAGCCTTGGACAATTATAGCTTGCCGTGCATATCGGTAAAACCTCGTAGAAACGATTCGTTGCGGGAAACACTTCGCTGTCTGGTCTGCGAAACAGAGGGGCCGTTAGGGGCCGAGAAAAGCAGTGGGATCTTAGGACCTAGTGGGACGGGCATTTTGACAAAAATACGTATTTTTTGGACAACATGTTCCTTCCGTAGTAGATGACTTCATAATATCATTGGGACTACAGACTCATTAACGCAAGAAACCGGCTTGTTTCTCTGATAATACGCACTTGCATATTTATGTGGAGCCAGAGCAGCCGCTAAACTTTATGAGTGCAAACGCCGCACTTAAATTAAATTTATCCTGTAAAATGCCTCAGAAAGGACTGACCATTCGATTGATGCCTGAAAGTTGAGATCAAAGGATCTTCATTTGACAGTGGACGCGGAATCAGCGGACTCTCTCTCCCTTTTCTGACTTACTGCCCGTGAGACACTGGCGGCGTCTCCTTACCAAGGAACCGCGCTGTAGCTATACTGAACATTCGAAGCCAGTGTAAAAATAGAGGACGCCAGTTATATTATCTTAGGTGACATCAGAAAAACTATCATCATGCATCGCGAGACAAGCGGGGTGATGTTCTCCTACTTGAACAAAACGAAGCCAAGGTGAGATTTTGTGAAAGCAACATTGCGTCCGTGATCGATTTTTTTTTTTTTTTTTTTTGGGGGGGAGGTGTCTCAAATCTGAAAGTTACATGTCGTTTTTACCACTTTAAGAAAGGTGAAGTACTTATTTACTTATTAATTACGTCGACACTGTGATGCAAGTAGTCGGCATGTTCGAAAAATTAACTTCTAAAACCAAATTATTTTCATCACATCCTGTCACTAAATTCAGCTGTAAGTATTTGTGTTTGGTGTGGAAAAATTGAGGAAAATTAGAACAATTTATACTACCCTTGGTTTACTGTCAGAGTAAGCTTTATTTCTAAAAAGTAGTCGAAGATAGGGTTAAGGTA